TTCCTTCGTCTTCCCCCAGCTTATATACTGAGCAGGAGACGTTGCAGGGGATCGTCCCAGGGGAAGTTGGTCCCAGGCAGTGCCTTCTAAGAGCACCCCAGGACACTGGCAGAAGTAGCCTTTCAAATGTTTGCAATCACTCAAAGAAAATCGTGGTCACTCAGTGATTGTAAACAATACTTCTTGGGAAATCAGTGCCCTGACTGTGCTTCCTCAGTATAAAAATTGCAGGCAACTCGTAGAAATCCTTGGTTCATTCTCTTTGCACCGTGAAAAAGGCGTCCTTCCAGGAGGCAGCATATGTGCCCGCAGCAGCTTGGCTCCCTACTGCACTGTGAGATGCTGCTGAGCTGCCGGCGACTCTGGTTTCACCAATGGTCAAGCCCAGGTGGGAGCACTTCCAGGGCTCACACTGCACGCAGCCACCTAACCTCATAAAACCTCCCCACCTTTTTGGCCTCTTGGGTGTTTCTTTCTTTGTGCACTTTAAATTGTCAAGGCAGAGACTCAAAAGTTAGCTTTGAGGACGACTGACCAACCTGCTGGCCAAGAGTTGGATGGGATCATGCGCAAATATTCCTGTTCTCGTCAGCCTCGCTCCTTCAGAAGTGAGACCAAACCCAACACAATAATGTTTCCCCTTTCTACTCAAGACGCCGCATGCCATCCACAGGAAAAACAGCAAGACAATAACATTTTCTCAATTAGAAAATTGTATGTGTGTTCACACAGCAGACTGTTTCTTAACTACACATTAATTAGTGGCTGCTTCCAGCAAAAACAACCCTCCTGGAACATGATCTATATAGAGCATAAAGAAACAACACCATAATGGCTGTAAACAAAACGCGTCACTGGACAGTATACATGGAAAATATTGCACTATTATCTACTCCCACCACATACTGTAAATAGCTGCACAGGAAAGGCTGATTTTCAAACCATATCAGAGCAAACAGTTTGCTGTGTAAGCCACTGCAACAGGGCAGGGGTAGGAAGGTACCAGTGTTAAACAGCCAAATAGAAAAAACCCACGGGGTCCCTAAAGCAATCAGTGCCAAAATATACACTGAGGTGGGAGGTGTCTAACGAAGAGATAGTCAAAACACAGCTAGTCGTTTCCGTAAGTGCCAGAGAGAAGGTACCTTCCTATAATTCAGTGTGAGATCGCCACAGTGAGTATCGCTACTGGAGGTAAGGCTGGACTGGCAACAAACCCGCAGTGTCTTTTTGCAAAAAGGGACACTATTAGGTTGAGGGCTCCCCTCTCCTGAAGGTGGATCCACCCTACTGCTGTTTTCCTAATCATAACAGTTAACAAATCCCTAGATCGGATAGTTTTAAAGGGGAGTATATGTTATCATTCCCAAACAGATGAGGAAACTGGAGCACACGAGAAGGATTTCAACAAGGTCATTTAGCAAGTCAGCAATAATGATGGGACTGTAGCTGGTAGCTTATCCCAAACCACTCTCTTCTGCACTTATGTTCTCTACCTTCTTATTATAATGGGTCCGCAGGCTCAGGACAAGGATCACACATGAGAAGGGACACCGGATTTGTTGTTTGCAGGTACTTATTAATGGATCAAAGGGTTCAAAGTGGTATAGCATTGGAGAAATGGATGAAAAACCCTGCGTAAGCATTGCTTGTTAGAAATAAACAAAGGACCAATGCAAACATGCCAAAATGTGAGCAAGTTTTGAAATTAGATCTGTTTACATTAGATGAGAGTTATGGCTGTAGTTTGACATGAATATTTCATTCCACAATTTTTCCTTAATACATTTTTTTTCCTCCAAAAAGCAAGACCTGTCCAAAATCTCTCCAAAGAGCAAGACCTCTAAATGCCACGTGCAAGAAAATCCTGGGTGAAAACATCCAGAGTAGTAGCCTCCCCCATGAATATAAATATAAGAATCTAACAACTGCTGGGATCCTATGAGAAATAGGCAATACACACAGGTAACACTTACTGTCACTGTCAATGATGAGAAACTTCAGAAGTGAAGAGGATGTATTTATGATATTCCCTGTTCCATGCTTTCTATCTAAAAAATGTCTTGGGTTAGATACCTGGGAGTCCTCATGTGAGCATGCTGCTCAGAGGTTTAAATTTTACTTTCAGTCATTGTCCATTCTTGTTCTCAAGCAGGATGGTAATCCACGGAGCATACAGTGTTTTCAACTCTCTCGCATTCCTG